CGTGAAAGTTAGCCAATTAGGTATATACAGGTGCGTGTCCGGGCCAATCAAACGAGAGCTCGCGAGCTGAGCTCTCGGCTTCATCTCTTTCACTTGCTGGTTTTTTTTTCAAGCTTTGGATACTGAGGCTTACCAGGTGGGACTCTGGGCTGGTGAAGGTGACCAAAGCGCCGTGGAGTCGCCTCGAGGTTATCGTTCCTCCGGCCTTCTTTAAAATGGTAGTCCAATAGCGTGCGTTGCCAAAGTTTCGACCACGTGTGGACGCACGAGGGTCAGCAACATCGAGAATCGATTTTAGAATGATCGGAATATGTCGCATGTCTGCGCGACATATGCGTTCATTGCGTGGTGCATGGCTTTCTAATCGTCAGTGCCAGTTGTATCTTAGAAAAGTGCTAATAATCGCTTCCATTTACGTAGTGCGTATATCGGTCCGAAACAAAAAATATACACAGCTTCGAAATTAATCGGGATCCCTGATTGATCCACGGCGATTCTATTCGTATGTCATACGTGACTTGTAACTTTGCTCAAAATATTGCTTAAATGTCTATAGAAAGACAAATAATTTAATGTTACGTAATTGACAAGAAAAGTGATTATGTCTATATTGAGTGCACACTTGAAATTTGATTTTCTCCTTTCCCGTTCACGTCGCAATATTAGTTTCACGACGTGAGAGAAAATTGCAAAGTCGAAGAATGTATTTTGGCATGAATGACGTTTTCAATATTCGTTCTTTTCTACCAATTTGTCTCTTGCCGCGTTTCGAATGAATTTCTCGTATACGTTATTCGTTTTTCGACACGAGGAAGGAAGCTGGGACGCGTGACAGACAGCGACATTGACAATCGATTCTCGGAAATTCATTTTCACCTAGACTTATGAGAGATACCTGTAATTTCCTATCAGTTCTCCCTTATATTCCCGCAAGGGAATTGACTTTCGAGCCTATCCGTTTTGACTGACGCGAGAGATCCTTATCTTGGCGTCTTATTAAATCCCACAATTCAGATAAGACAAGCGAAGAAGCCGACTGATTAACATTTTATACATTTTCATCTAAACTTTTAACTTTTCTTACTTTACACGAAGCCAAATGCTAAATTCTAAATAAGTTGATTGCCAAGTTGCTTCGAACGAATGAATCGCGAACGAGACAATAAAGTTTCATTCGAGAGGTATAAAAGTAAGTACGACTTTTAACAGTAGTTTAAGAACATTCGTTGTTGAGCACATCCCTGGCGGATAAATCCTTCGAGATACCTCGTAGCATAACTTTCGTTCGCGGGGGTTTCTTACGAAGGGTTTCCTTACAGTAGGAAACCTTTGCATAGCGTGCATTTATTTTCCATTGAAAAGACGACCATTGAAGATCGTGAAATTTGAATTCCCAAATTTCGTCGTACATGTATTTGTCATTACCAACAGTTTTTGTTTACTAAAATATTTGTCTAGTGAACTTAGGCCCGATTGCTAAACCAACATTATTTTGATTTTAAACGAGATTTAAATATGTATCCGTTTCTGGTTTTTTATTTAGAAAGAAAGCTAAAGACAGATATGTATGGTTAAGTCTCGCTTAAAGCCAAAATAACGTTAGCGTGCAACCGGATTTTAATAGAACAAAAATAAATAAATATTCGTGAAAGAAGAAAATGGTTTTAGATAACGTAAAGAATAAGTATTTTGTTAAAAATGTTTACTACCGTAAGAGAGCAGGGTGAACACTTAGCCTCCTTTCTAAACAATCTTTTGTAGGACGAGCGCGCAACGAGCCGTCTCCGGAACGAAACGAGTATGAGGCGCATCGTTAAACACGTCGCGGGGTATAATGCGTCACTTTAAGACGAGAATTATCTTTCGGGCGGTATAACGAGAGGAGTAAGTCGCTGAAAGTCCCCGTGGCAGGGGGTTCGTGTCGGCACATCGTGCCCGGGCATTAAGGTGCTTGTCATAAATATGAGGAGACACGCGTTCGTCTTGAATAGCCGTAAAACTTCCTCGGCGAGCCGCAGCGAGTTCGCGAACAAAATGAGAATGTCGCGGAATTACGCGCGAGTGCAAGTAAATTCGCCGGTAGACGAATAAATGATTCGGTGCTTGATGAATAACGACGACTTTAAAACGGAGTACAACGTGACGCGAAAGTACGGCGAATAAAAAAAAAAGAAACAATAACGGAACGATATTAATATAAAATTCCGAAATTCTTCAGTCCGATACCGAAGTCGAAATATCGACGATGCAACAACGAAAATATTATCAGAGTCGTCCGGGAATTTGAATCCGAGTACACGAGAAATACTTGCGATATATACCGCGCGGTGGAATAAAATACACCTGTGTGCTGGGATTTAATATCGCGGCCATCTCTCGTCGAGACGTTTTCGAGACGTCACGTAAGCTCGAGCTACTCGAGGCTTAGCGATTTCGTGACAGATTATGCCGGATTATTCGACGAGCACGCACATGAATAAGAAAATATACCTGGATCCGGCGACTTAACCCAGATATCAGCTAATTTTGCGCGAGGTCTTTAGAAAATTTCGCTGCGCATCCTTTTGTCGATTTTTCGCGCATCTCTCCGCGAAGATCGTAAAGTTACAAATGCCTCGAGAAGCAGGGCGACTCTATGGTAAACGGAATATAAAATATTTTAAATATAATCGTTAGTTTTTTTTTACTCCGCGCAGTGAAGTGAAGTTTCAACATAGTCGAGGTTGAGAAATTAACATCGCGGAATGTTTAATTACGAACGGGAACGATCATTACTGATAAATGTAGTTTGTACACGTCAACTTGTATTCGGTTTAGTTATTTTTTTCCGCGCGATTTATATCACGCTCTTCACAGATATATATTTATTATGGCTTAATCAGTGAATTATAATCAACACATAATATACGAGCAAAATTTGTTATGTGCATAAAAAGACTATTGAACATTTAATGAAGAGCTTTAGTTCAATGATAATTCATCGCCATTCATTAATAATCGAAGACAACGCGGGAACTGTGTTTTCATTACATAATTTATTAAATAATGTTAAATTAATTATTTATTGTGGGGACCTATATTCCAAAGTGGGACAACGCATAGTATATCATATGCAGGAGCGTTTATGTAAAATGGATTATTATTCATAAACGTTATGTTCTCAAACGGGTTTAATATTTTCAAAAAATGACTTACAAGATTTTACATGTTTTTAATAATATAAAATTATCTCGTAAATGCGTAATATTCATATTTCAAAACAACTTCTTTAATAATTATATCTGATTCGTTAATAATACATATATTAGGAAAATTAATATCTTGTTTGAGTGATGCTTGACGATATCGCGATACGTTCAATAGGGTCACGAAATTTAGTAAGTATAGAAATTAATTATTATGCTACCTGTAAACATTACTCGCGCTTATTAATTCTTGAAACTCGGTCGCCCTCCAGAGAAGTTCACTCGGTTAATTAAAGCAGTACCGAAAACGGCTGGCGCGTTAATTAAAAGGCGGAAGGGCGTCTTACAACCGTCCTGATTGCTGGCACTATGAAACGGAAGAGACGGTACTCGAGTACTCGGCTACGAGTACTTCAAGAAAGATCAAGTCAGCAAGTGACCCACAGCACGGGATGGAAACGTGAGAAACAAATAGAGCATTGATTTAGAATATTGCTAATGTTGTTAATGCCAAATTTTGAATGAAAGAAGGCAAAATAATAATGCAAAATAAAATAAAATAATAAAATATATGATATTTTGCATATTCCCTTTTATACACTCTTGTAAGCCATATTTCGAATAACAAATTTATAGGGATTATTAGATGTTTTTTACTATTACAATTATTTTTTAGATTATATTATTGTATAAACGTTCTTTTTATATAAGTATGAATATAAATTAATAATATACTATAATTCTTTTTATAATCGTTTTCGTATAAATTCTTATTTAAATAACAATTACAAACAATTACGGACGTTAAATAAATTATGAGCTGAAAATAAATGAAAAATAAAAGATTTGCTATGCAAAATTAATTTCAAAACTAAAAATAAATAAAAAGTCCTATTTTTAATGTAGTATCGAGTGGACTTTGAGGATATTTAATGCTGCAAATTAAAAAGTTACGAAAAAGTGCAGAGTCCAATTAAACTTTTCCTAAAGAAAAATCAGTCAAAGAGTACACTCCTAAAGCTTGGCGACCTATTTCAAGATCATTTTTTATAATAAGATTTATTTGTCAGAGTTATTCTTTCTTATTCGTTATTGTTAAATAAAAGCTTTAAAGAAAATAGCTTCAAGTCTTTTTCATAATAACTCAGGAAGGAAGAGTGCTTTATTGGAAAATTTCCTGTTATGCAACGAACTGGAAAGGAAAATAAAACATTTCACGAATTATTGACTGATTTATCGAATACGTCGAATTCGTTCATCGAATGTGAACTCATAATTTCACTCGAAAATCGTTAAATCCGCCTGAGTTGAGCGTAAAATTTACGAATGCGGCCTGGATTTACCAACAGAATCGTGACTCGTAACTCTCGATCACGCGTGTCACGAGGTAACGATCCAGGTGAACCACCTACATTGTACAATGCGCGCACGATGTAATTACTTAAAAAGAGCAACGTGATCCGTGAAAGTATGCTATTATTCTGTTGCTGACTTGCAGTCTTAGAACTTTTTAATGAGTCATGCTTTATGATCTTAATAAATAATTATATACAAATAATTATATAATAATTATATATGTATTTCAAATGTGTACTAATTAGATCAAAATGAAAGATTCATATTTGTTCGGTAAAATTAGAAACAGAATTTTTAAGTAATTCTTGTTACCTAGTATAATTACGTAACGCTTAATACATTTTTTTCCATTAAGAAATTAAGAGATTAATTTTTTAATCCCTTTCGCAGAAAAAACAGGAAAGATTCAAAGCTAATTTCATTTATAGCATCCAGTAAAAAAAATCAAAATTTTTTTAGTGCATAAAATCAAATAAACCAATCAAATAAACATCGTGCAATTATACGCTACAACTTTAGGATAATTCGATCAACGGATATGCACAACTTTGGAATAATTCGATAAACCTTTGAAGCTTAATTGCAAGATTGTTGTTTCAAAAGTATCAAAGTCTCAATATGTAGCAAAGATAAAATCGGCTTATCGCGTGTGCATTGTGGGCAACTT